AAACTAAGCAACTTACTATATTAGTCTCGACGGAATCAATGTCAACATTTAGTCCTTTGATTTTGTTCAGCCCCACTGAGAAAATTACAAAAAGAACGTAAAATCAGATATGTGGGAGAAGTCAAGAGGATATTAGGGGTGCATATATGAACTTATCAAGAAAATATGGAAAAGCAATTGGTTCAATAAAATGAAATTCTAAGGGAAGAAGACTTTACCTGCTAAAGTTTTAGCCTTTTTGTGATCTCCTTCAAGCTTACCAACATTTTCTTGCAATGCAATAAGAGCAGCAGCGCACAGGACACCAACCTGCCTCATTCCACCACCCAGAGTCTTCCTGAGAATCCTTGCCTGGACAGTTATACAAAAAGAAAGATAAGTGCTCAATTTGCAGAAACGATATTTTCTTTTGGGGCAGGGGTGGCGGGGCAAGCCTACAGCACAATGAGCTTACTCTGGCAATAAAGGTTTCTGAACCAACAATTACGGTTCCAACCGGAGCACCAAGACCTTTCGATAAACAAATCTGTAATCCATATTAAAAAATGGATGAGGAACAAACAGGTATTTAGTGCAGCAAAGTGAATATGATGGTCAAGGGTGGACAAGGAAGAACAAGTGAAACTAGGAGGGAGTCTTTCATGATCATTCTACTTACAGATACTGAATCAGCAGCCTGTACAAGCCTGTCAACCGGAACTCCCAGTGCCTGAAGAATAGATCTTGCCAATTAGGACTTTCCAGCAATGCAAGAAAACAAACATGACAGTGCAACTAAACAGATAGCTGGACCAAAACTAAAGAGTCTACATACTCCATCTTCCAGAAAATTTGCTCAAATGCCGGAAATAAGTTTAATAACCCCACTTCGACTTAAAAAAATACCAAAATTCATAAATGATTTTAGTTCCAGAAGTTGATAAAATATATATACAAAGTTTCGCAGCTTCTGGGGATGCTCATCTCAAAGTCCTCCAAATTACCTAACGGATGTGGACCTTGACTTGGGAATTCATGTTATTACAGCTAAAAACTTCCAAATGACTATTGAACATCCAACTGCAGATTGTGGTTCCCAACAGAGTTAAACAAGCAAGATGAAATGTATATCAAAGAAGAAGTAGTAAATAAAACTACCCTCGTGATTTGATAGATGAAAATACTACCTCGACATGATAGAATAAGCAATATTGTATCCATTAGTAAAGTTATTACTCACAACTGATGCATTAAAAATACGAGCACCATCAATGTGAAGCTTCAGTCCATACTTCTTTGCTAGCTCTCCTACTTGGTCTATGTATTCTGGAGAAAGGCATCGACCACCAGAACTGCATAATAGGATGATGCTGTAAGAATCTGATAACCAGCAAGAAGCAATATTCTCCTATTAATTTAGGAAATGTGTTTTGGTTAACTAGAATTGCAATTCTATACAATCACTTATTAGACATTTAACCAAGTTTTTCCAATCAACATCTAGCTACAAAGAGTACAAGGCAATGATATACATGTGACGACTTTCTGTGCTATGTGGATAAGAGTTACAACTAAGAAATTCACCATGAAAAAAAAGCTTACTGAGCATGTGAGTTTTCCAAACAGATGAGCCTAGTTGTTGGGCAACATATCTCAAATCTAGGATCTCTAATTGCAGCTTCAATTTGATTGATATCCATTGTTCCGTCTTCATTATTCTTCACTGTTCTTGGATGAACACCTCCAATTGTGGAAATACCTCCATTTTCATAAATGTGGATATGGCAACTGTCACCTAGAATTACCTCACTTCCCCTAATTGGACAATGTGTAAGCACACAAATAAGGTTACCCATTGTGCCTGAAGGGACAAAGAGGGCTGCTTCCTTGCCTGTGATTCTTGCCATCTCTGTTTCAAGGCGACGGGCAGTTGGGTCATGACTTAAAACATCATCATCAACTTCAGCATTTGCCATTGCAGTCCGCATGGCTTCAGTTGGTTTAGTCACTGTGTCAGATCGGAGATCTACCGTTCTTGTCACCATTTTGCACTATAATCAAGCAGAACAAAATGAACAAATCAAGACATGAGTTAAAAACAAGAATAAGTTATCTCCAGGCATGGGACTTCCATAGTTACGTCATTCGAAAAAAATAATAAATAAGACACTGACTCGGACCTGAAAATTAAACTACATATAACCACTCATGAAATGGAACTAAGCAATAACAAACATGTTGGAGATCTGTGTTTTTTCCTGAATTCTCTGGAAGGATCAGAATATGTAGACAATAAAAGAGAAAATAGATTTGTTGTCTTAGGAAGAAAGGTCTATCAGTGAACTGAGAAAAAAGAAAACAAAAAGGAAAAATGAAATCATGGACGTATGCCATAAAAAAAAATTTATTTTGCGCATGTGCGTGAGGAGCACTTGAAACGTAAGAAAACAAACCAGAAACTTTGATGTATAAACTGTAGTATAAAACGTAGAAACTGATGACAAGGCAAATGCAAGAAATGCGGAGTCTGATTCTGGATGCACTTAAACCTGAGGTCGTCTGGGTGACGCCTCCAATTTAGCATAATTAATCCATATCTTCCTAGGGATTTCTTGCAGGATACTAATCTAATTGCAGTTCAAGATTAAACTGAAAAAGAAGAGAGATTTCTTCCACTTTCACATCTCTTTATCTCCTTTAGCAATGAATATCTATCCCATCCTCTCTCTCATTTCAGACAATTTCATGCAAAATTCATCTACTTTATACAAAGAACCAACAGCCACACAACATGCTCGGACGTTAATCAGTGCGCATTATATTTGATACCTTTTCTTATAGTTATTGAAGCAAAATCAGTCAGTGTTGATTGATATCTCCCTTCTTGAGTTCTTGATGCAGAGTTACAGAATCCAGCAACAATCAACCAGATTCACTCAACTGCACTCCAAAGGTAACAAATCGGTACCAAAAAGGGGCAAGAGAAATTTATCACGAAAAGGTAAAGAAAATATGACAAAGATGATTTAAAAAGAAAAAAAAGATTAACCCACAAAACTGAGCACTTACGTGTGATGAAATTCAATCATGAGCACAGAAACAGAGCAGAATCAGTAGTTCTTGTCAAGTGGAAAAGACCCAAGATACGTATCTAAGTAAAGCACCACAAGAAGAATCCAAGTGTATGACAGCTGAATCTTTGGTTCTCTTTCCCTTAAAGAAGCGAAAACCCAACCCCACCGCAACCTCAAAAGAAAGAAATGCATGACCTCTTTCGGGAACTTATTATTTCGTCATTTAATGAAAACAATTATCAAAAACAAGCATTATCTCATCACATGACAAAATACATGAGCTACACACATGGCACTTTACAGTCATTGAAAATGATGCATGCATGATAAGCAACTAGCGGTTGATAGAACTTCAATAAAGGCACCAAAATTCTCGTCTTAATCAAAAAGATTCTTCAGGTACATAGTTGAATTTGACACTTCCCTATTGGGCTCACCTTTGATATGATCAAGTGACTCTGTTGTGGCTCCTTTGTGTCTTCTTTCCTACCTTCCTTTTGTGGTTTTATTTTTTTGGAACCAAAGTTTGGACTAACAATCCAAAAACATATATGGGATTTTAGGGAAACACGGTAAGTTTTGATCATCTATGGGTTGGAATGCAAATCTATTTATATACAAAGGTGGGTATGAATTATGAAAATTAATGCATCATGCATGAAGTTTATTCAAGCTGGAACATAAAATAATGGTAACTAGGAAGAAAAGTTGGATACTAACTCCAAACAGGTGGTAAAGGCGATGATGACTGGAATCCTTCACATTCTGGGCCCTTTTCTTATCGGTATTATCTCTTGGCCCACCGCAATACACGAATCACGAATGCGGGAAAGATATCTTACAGACGCTATTGATGTTTCAAATATTCAAATTCTTGACTGCAATTTGATGCACTAAAATAGCCCTTTCAAGCTTAACAAGCAAAATTGTCCACGGCCGACCGATCATTCTTGGAACTCCAGACCAATCTTTCCTAGAACTTCAGAAATCCTGGGAGCCGCCATTATGGTTTATTGACGCTCATAACAAAAGATGGCTAGTCTTTTGAGTCCAGTAGTTTCCTACTTACATTTCATTCGACAGGAAGGGTCATTTGAGCCGGGTTTTAATAAGTCCATTAAAATATTTGGTTTCGATTCATGAGTTTTTTCTTTAAAAAAAAAATAAAGAGTTTTCAGCTAATACACGTAAAGTTCATATTTGATTCATAATATATTCGAATTTTGATTTCAATTCGGACTCAGTTCAAACTCACTTATTTTTTCTTAATATAATTACTATAATCATTAAATAATATTAATTTGAAATCGTAACATTAAAACTATACAAGTATACATACACCAATAAAAAGTTCATTAAAAATACATAAACTAAACATTTTTCAATAATAAGTGTACCTAATTCTTTTCAAATACATACAAAATAATAATGAAACGTGAATAGATTACTAATAATTTATCTAATGAATCTAATTCTCTTCCTACTAATTACTAATATTTTAAGTATACATTACATATTAAAAAAATACATGTATATATATGTGTGTGTATATATATACACACACAAATATATACATCCATACATACATAAATATATATATATATATATAGGGTAAAAAACAAAAAAACCCCTGTGGTAAACCTATTATACAAATAAGTCCCCTATGGTTTCAAAATATACAACACGGTACCTCATGCTTTGAATTAAATTGTAAACCTGATGGAAATCGGTAAAATTAACGGGACTGATATACTGAAAACTAAAAACAAATTCTTTATACTTAATTTTTAGCAAATATTACTATTCTACCCCTTAACCCCCAATAAAACTCCCAGTGATGTTTGAATCTCCCAATAAAACTCCGTGAAGCTGCCCTTAACAACCGCACTAGACTGTACCTAGTGTTGCATAGAAACCCCCAACCCATTCTTCGAGACTGATTGAACCTCAGATACCGGTGCTGAAGAACTTGTCCCACCCTCCTTCAAGAACGATATATGAACATTTTCCGTTGAAGCAGTACCCACCATAACTGGAGTTGGTGTGACTGTTTGCCCGGCTACTTTTGTGGGACGAATGTTTGGCCTGTAAAATATCCCAACAGAAGTTAGACATGTAAGAAGAGCGTCTTTTTTCGATGTCATTATTGGTTAGATGAGTAGAAGGAGTGCCCAAGGAAAGAGTGCAATCAACAGAGGAAGACGGTGGAGATGATGCGAAGGAATACATTTTAGCAGTTTCATCAAAGGGTTTATTGTGATGGTTAGGCATAGAGAAGAGCATGGAGAAGAAATTGGCTTGATGAGTGTGGAACATGCCACATGAACATGGCCCAGCCATGTTTCCATGAGAACCGCCATTGCACCTATTACTGTGCATCATCGTTTGTTTTCTTTCTTTTTTCTTTTCATGCTGCTGCTTCAATCTCTGGATGGATGAATAATCTCTCCAACTGGTCTTTGAATTTATAGGGCTAAGACAAAAGAATGAAAGAAATACTACTAACTATGGGTTTTGTGAGAATAAGGTGAAAACGATGGGTAATAATCAAATGGTTGAATGGGGGAGTAAGTTGAAGTTTGGAAGGAAGAGCTCGTAATGTTATATGAATATGATATATGAGTGTACGAGAGAGAAAAAGAGTTGGAGCCGGGCATTTTGGTCATTTCATCAATGCCCGTTAATTTTACTGATTTCCGTCAAATTTACAATTTAGTTCAAAATATGAGGTACCCTGTTGTATATTTTGAAATCATAGGGGGCTTATTTATAAAATTGGTTTACCACAGGGGTTTTTTTATTTTTTACCGATATATATATATACATACATATATATACATATATATATATGGGAGAATTGTAATTTTGATCCCCCAATCTATAGTATATGTGCGTAATTAGTTCCCAATCTATTTCGAAAATCAATTTTGGTCCCCAATCTGTTCAATTTTGTGCTAAAAGTGGACAATTGACGAAATTTCTTCAATTTCAACCGGAACCAAGTCACGTGAGATCACGTGTCGGCACTAAAACCCCTTTTTCAATTTTTTTAATTTTTGAAACACGTTTTTTAATATTTTCAGTTTTGTCTTGCCTTTGGACATATTAAACAAAGACATGAAAGGCTAAAATTCACTAATCAAGGAGTTAGTAATCGTGTGTAGAAATAAATCACAAAATAAAGTATGACGACGACATCCTCTACTTCCTTCTTTTCTCATCTTTTTTCTTCCAACTCAAGAACAAACCCTAGGAGCCTCAATCCCATTCTAATCATACAAAAAAATTCTTCATTCTGGCAAAAAATTGCAAGATCTAGGCAAAAACTTTGTATCGAGTTTCTTTTATTTTCAATTTAGCTCCTCATGGAACCAATGAAAAATTACGACTGCAAGCAACGAGCAATAATGGTTACTTCTTGGACAGACAATAATCCTGGGAGAAAATATTTCACTTGTGCAATCAAGAAGGTATGGTTGTCTCTGTTTCTGATTTCAACTTTTCTATCTCTATTTCTGAGTTTAAAGCTAAAGGTTTATGATGTTGGCTGTGAAGAGTGACAGAGAAAAAAGATGCGATTATTTTAAATGACATGATCCAAAAATGTGTAGAAAGTCAACAGCCCTGATTCCTGGACTACTACAGAGCATGAACTCTAAGAATGCTACAATTGAGAGGCTAAGAGCAAGGGAAAGAAAATTATTATTAGCAATTTTGTTGTTGGTACTTCTGCTGGTTATTGTGTTACTGGTGTAAAAGACAAAAGGTTGGACAGTCTTGGTATCAACTAAGCAGCTCAAGGAAAATGTGTTAAGTATTAGGCTAAGTTAGGTACTGTCTAAACTTAGAGATGAAAAACATTCATCCGAATTGTAATTTTGGTTTTTTTTGTTGGAATGGGTGAATGTGTAAGTTGTAATCTACTATCAGGCTAGTACATTCTGTTTTCTTGAATGAATAGAGATGAAAGACATTCATCCGGATTGTAATTTTGGTATTTTTTGTTGGAAGGGGTGAATGTATAAGTTGTAATCTACTATCAGGCTAGTACATTGTGTTTATTTTAAATAAATGAATATATTGGATGTTCCAATCTGCTTTTAATTAGTTGTGTTTTTAAAATTCATTTACAAGTTAACTGGATGTTGAGTTCTCCTCGGAAAATGAATTCAATTTGAGAGGTTGAATGAAGAATCATTTGACAGCAAAATCATGAATCCTGATTGAAAGAGCACATATGTAATTTCCAGTTTATGCATGAACATGGGTTACATATCGTTGGATTAAACAGTCCCAAAAATCAGAATAGAAAATTCACTGCAATCATTGCATTGCAGATGTAAAGAAACATGGAAGAATAATAGGAATTCAATACATCCAAGTCATCCACAGCTAGAAGCATACTTTCACAACCACCATCCCATTGATCAAATAAAGGCGTTTTCCTGCCTAGAATCCTATATAAAACTTGAAACACCTATTTATGATAATTTCCACAATTCAGAACGGCCAGAAAACAGAATGAAAACTCAACTTCAAAATGTGGAAGTAAGTTGCTATAAAACCTGAACATCATATGTAATGCTAGATAGTAAAACAAAACAAATGGTAATATACCAAAAGATAAAAGAAGAATTCATTACTGGCTTGGAACCAATAAACAAAAGATACATTCAGAATTCATTACAATCATCAAATAGACACTGTTTTGTCATTTGCCAGAAATGATTACAAACTTCAAAACTGTCATGTTCACGCTAGCTTGTTCTCAAGATACATGAGTTCCAAATACTAATATACAAAAGCTACTAATCTGACAAAAGCTACTACTAATCAAATTCAACAACACAACCATCCAAAAGGTGCTGATTAGCAAAATTAATCTAGGTACTGATTAGCAACATCCAAAATGTGCTGATTAGCTACATATCAGTTAGTTAATGTTGGCTTTTTCTTTGTCATTGCAAGGTGAATTTGAACATCTTTGATCCTAAAAGATATCCCTGTTCCTCCTCGGCCAACTGGTTGACTGCTATGTACCACAAAATGCTCTAAGATCCCAAAAGTTTCATATAGGTTTGGTTGAGCAGTAGTGGCAGAAGATATTATATTGTCATCACCAGTTGCTGGGTTGTTCTGTGATGAATCTATTTGCTTTGCACTTCGTTTGGTGTCATTTTCCTGCAATACATCAGCATTTAATCACTAAATATCGAACTCACAAGAAACAATAACTAAATGTGCATTAAGTAATAAAATTACAACATATTTTCTTGATATTTTAGTTCTCCTCTTCTTTGTATTTGAAGTGTTGCCCCTGACCTACAACAAAGCATAAAATGCATTAGCTGCTACAATGTTACAGACACAGGTATATCCATTTACACAAATTACATGCCTGAGTTATAGAGTTATCTACTATCATGTTATCTAGTTGTGAGAAACTCATATCCTCCTGATTTACTTGTGTTTTCTGCCCCTGTTCTCTCATTTAACTGGCTGCAACACCTGTTTCCTCTATAACCTTACATGTCCATGTGTTATGACCTTGCTCACCACAGAATGAGCATTTACAGATTTGACCAAATCTCCTCACCTTCTTGCCTGGTCCTTTGTTTGCTGTATCTCATCACCAGATTTTCTTCTTTGTTTCTTTGGTCTTCCTGGTACTCTTCCATAAGTTGGTGGCAGGGATGGCTGAACATCTATATCTTCCCACTCATGCGCTCTATTCACAGGTAAAATGCAAGGGTCATAACACTTAAGATACTTTTCAACACTGTAACAGTCATCAATATACTGCATAGGAGCCTTCATAGCAATCCACAAAGCTGAAATTGCATGAGCACATGGTATCTCTGTCAAATCCCATTTCCTGCATGAGCAAGTCCTATCCTCAATATTGACTGCCCACTTTTCACCATAAGGACAAGCAACTTCAAAACTGACATCGTTTGATTTGTAAGGCACACAGTAAGTTACCTTGTCAATATTGACCTTCATCATTTTCTAATTTTTGGATAGAAACAAAATTTACTCCACTTTTTCCTACCTCTATCTCTATTTTCTTGCATTCTTTGCATGACAAAATGCTTCAATGCCTCCATCATGACAACAATGGACCATTCCCTGTCATCTAATATTTTGCTGTTAAATGATTCATATATGTTATCCAACAACATATCACATTTAGGGAATGTTCTGAAGTGTGATCTACTTCACTCTGCTGGATTCTTGTCCTCTAACCACTTAATTGCTTCAATATCCAGTTCTGTTATGGTTTCCATTTTTCTTATGAATTGTGCATAAGTAGTTGCCTTAGCTGCTTTCCATAAGGCTTGCCTCATAGCTGTCCCTTTGAATCCAGCAGCTACCATATTGCTATGCATATGTTTCATACAAAATCTATTATCAGCCCCTGAAAAAACTGAATCACATGCTTGAATTATGCCCTTCTGCTTGTTACTTATTATGGTCCATTCATAGTCTTTTTCAATTTTTAGATCCTCCTTAAGTAAAATAAGAAACTAAATCCAGGAATCCTTAGTTTCTCCCTCAGTTGCTGCATAAGTAATTGGATACAAACCATTATTTTGATCAATTTCAACTGCTATCAGTAATACTCCACTAGCCACACCTTTGAGGAAAGTCTCATCTAACCCAAACACAGGCTTGCAAGCATTTAAAAATTCTTTTTTCACCCCAACAAAGCACATGTACAAGCTTTGAAATTTTTCTTATTTGGTGACTAAATCACAGTAGTTTTCTGCCACATTCATTACTACAGTACTACCTGGGTTACTTCTCAAGATTTCCTTGATATATTTGGGCAACTTATTATACTGGTCCATATCACTACTTTGGGCCAATTTCCTGCCAATTATTTTAGCTCTATAGCCTTGATGTCTACTCAAATAGCACTTGTTCTCTTTCATTACCAGATTTTTGAAGCTAGCATAATCTATCTTGGGATTCTCCCTAAATGTGTTAAAATATTTTCTGTTAACCCACCCAGATTTTACACTCTTGTTATGATATGAAAACCCATACTTGTGTTTCTGCTGGAATGTTCTAACTTCTAATCTGCCATCACCTTTCATCTTCCTAGCATATATCTATCCGTCACATTTTTTTTTAGGACAAATTGCCCTGCATCTAATGGTGTTACTCTTGGTAAATTTAAATGGTCTATCCCGCTTGATATTTCAGGTTCTAACTGCCTCTTTAAACTTCTTGAATGTGGTAAATACCTGCCTAATTTTAAGGTTGGGGTTATCTGCATCCTTGGGGTCATACATAGGGGGTCTTGAATAACCCTCTTCATCTGAACCTGAATCTGGTGCAACATCTATGTCGGAATTGTCATCATCAATATCAGAATT